TCTCTCTCTCTCTCTCTCTCTCTCTCTCTCTTTCTCTCTCTCTCTCTCTCTCTCTCTCTCTCTCTCCTCAAAAAAAAAAGAGAGAGAGGGAGGGAATTTTGATATTTATTTTTTAGTTTTTGGCAGACACATCTTTGTTGGTATGTGGTGCTGAGGATTGAACCTGGGCTACACGCATGCCAGGCGAGCGCAATACTGCTTGAGCCACATCCCCAGCTGGGGATTGGAACCCAGGGTCTTGTGCATGCGAGGCAAGGACTCTACCAACTGAGCTACATCTCCAGTTCCATATTATGACCTTTTGTTAACTAGGTACCTTCTTCCTGTCTCTGTTTCTCATCTATGCAATGGGTTTAAGGATCCTTAGCCCCACAGAGGTAATGAGGGGATTAAATGAAACCACACACCTGGAAAGATCTCATCTGACCCCCCCAACACACACAGCATTTGATAGGTTTTTTAAAAAATTAAATTAAATTAAATTTTATTGGTACTGGGGATTGGACCCAAGGATGCTTTACCACTGAGTCACATCCCCAGTCCTTCGTTATTTTATTTTTTGAGAAAAAGGAAAAAGAAGTTTTATTTTTTTGCTAGCAAAGCAAAAACACAGAGGATGTGAAACTGCCCATCATAGAGGGGAACAGAGGACCTTTAAAAAGTTATTTTTTATTTTGAGACAGGGTCTCTCTAAATTGCATAGGACCTTACTAAGTTGCTGAGGTTCTGTTCAGATCTCTGAGTGGATAAGGCCCACTCACATTAGGTAGGGCAGTCTGTTTTTTTTTTTTTTTTTTTAAATTTATTTTTTAGGTGTAGATGGACACAACACAATGCCTTTATTTTTTTATGTGGTGCTGAGGATCGAACCCAGGTCTCGCCCGTGCTAGGGATCGCTCTACTGCTGAGCCACAATCCCAGCCCAAAGAGCATTCTGCTTTATTAAATCCACTGATTTAAATGTTAACCTCAGCTGGATGCAGTGGCACAAGCATGAAATTCCAGCAGATGGAGAGGCGGAGGCAGGAGGACTTCAAGTTCAAAGCCAGCCTCAGCAATTTAGCAAGGCCCTTAGSGAGACCCTGTCTCTAAATAAAACATAAAAAAAAGTCTGGGGACGTGGCTCAATGGTTAAGTACCCCTAGGTTCAATCACTGGTACCCCTCCAAAATTAGTCTCACCTCAAAATAACATCACAGTAACACCCAGAATGATGTTTCACCAACTACCTGGGCACACCCCATTAGTCAGGTTGACACATACAATTAACAATCATAGTCTCCTAGCAGATCTGCCACAGAGGGGAGAAGAGCTACCTTTGGGGAGAAGTAGATTTATATAAATTTCTCTCAGTGGCTCCTTAGAATTTCATCATAGGAAGCATTGATAAAATATTAGGATAGGGATTTTGGCAATAAACGAAATTAACCTATCATTGAAACCTCATTCATATTCATCTGATTTTAAACATTTCCTCACCAATAACAATAATAAAAGCTAAGCAAAAGCAACAATCGTTCATTGTTTTTGAACGAAACAATGTATTTCAAATTTGCATATTTATTATTTCACATAATGCTGACTTTACCTGTCACGCACTCCCTTTGTACACAGAGTTTATATGTATATTGCTGTAACTTGAATTCCTAATTGCTCATTAATTTGCTTGTTTATGACTTGGCTTCCTCACTAATTTCTATTTGCTACTCAAGGTCAGGGGCCATTTAATACTTATTTTTGTGTTCCCAGGAATCTACCGAAGGGCTGGCATAAAGTGTGTCATGCAAATGGTTGATTTACTGAGAGTTAAGTAAGTAAACGTGTGAAGTGATTTTATGTCATGTAAGAAGGGGTGTGTCAGAGATAAAACACTTTACAAAACCACGCCGATTTTGAAACTCAGCTCTGTCTCAACTGTCCCAAGACAAGTCCCTCAACACCACACCTCTCGCTTTCTCTCTCTCTCTCCCTTTATTTTTATTTATTTATTTATTTAGTAATGTGCTGAGGATCAAACCCAGGGCCTCGCACGTGCTTGACAAGCGCTCTACCGCTGAGCCACAACCCCAGCCCCAGCTCCCTTAACTTCCTGATGCATCGATATCTTTATAAGATGGAGTGATATTTCCCTAATGGGATTGTTGTGAGGAATAAAGTGATATACTGAGTATAAAGTATTGCACATGGTGGCCACTCGATAAAAGTTGCCAATTATAAGGCAATTGAATGTCAGGTTTACATTGGGTCAGTCAGCTCTGAAATAGAGGTCAGAAGTCAAGATTTCCCAGTCCTGTGCTAGACGCTGGAATGAATTAGTCAGACGGGGTCTGAGTCCTTAAGGAACTCGATCAAATATGGGGCAGAGATGGTAACAAGTAATATAGTTCAGCAGAGGAGATGCCAGAACTGTGTGCAAAACACCCGGCTAACACAGAGATGACAACTGATTCTGCCTGGAAAAACAGCAGTTGAGGTGACACAAGCTGTAGCGAGAAGTGGAGTCTGGGGGCATTTCCCGACGTTGAGTCTCGGAAGCTGCCGGAACCAAGGTGCTGCGGTAGTGGAGTGATTCTCGGTGGGATATTGTTACCGGACCTGTTCAAGGCCGTTCCGTCAGCGTTTTCAGACGCAAAGGGGTCGTGGCTGCTGGTGCGGATCTTCGGTCTACACTTTTAGAGGTCACAGCAGCAAAAGATGAACGGAACCCTGTGGAAGGTAACACAGATTCCAGGCAGGGCGCTGGGGAAAGGAGTAGAGAGAGCAGAGCTGGGGATGGAGGTTTGCAGACATCCGGGTATGAGACCTGAGGAGAAATAGGCCCTTCCCAGAAGTCTGTGCGGGCTCGCGGTCAAAGGGAATGTTCTGCTTCCTCGGCCTTGGGCTCCCTGGGCTGCACAGACCTACGCCACGCCCCTTCCACTTGCCACACTTGCCACTCCGGGCCTGGGAAGGGGAGAGCCCACAAAGAGAAAGCCGACACCGGTATATGGTTACCAAAAATATTCTGACCTTGGGCAGGTCATTTTATTTTATTTTGCATTTAATCAACTTACAGAATTCTTCTGAAAATTTTTTTTTGTCTTGCTGAATTGGTTGGGATGTGAAGCTACCTGGTGATTAAGGGAAGAGCAATGATAAACTGCACTTTTTGTTTCAAAATTTTAAGTGGCTATTGCAGAATCGTTTGAAACTCCATTCTTAAAATTGCATTCCATTCCCCCTTCCTCCATGTTGAGGATTCCACCTAGGGTACTCTTAACACAGAGCTACATCCCTAGCCCTGTTTTGCTTTTTTTTTTTTTGAGAGAGAGAATTTCAATATTTATTTTTCAGTTTTCGGCAGACACAAGATCTTTCTTTGTATGTGGTGCTGAGGATCAACCCAGGCCGCACGCATGCCAGGCGAGCCCGCTACTGCTTSAGCCACATCCCCAGCCCTAATTTGCTTTATTTTTGAGAAAGGGTTTCACTAAGTAGCTGAGCCTGTCTTSGAATTTGCAGTCCTATCTCAGCCGCCTGAGTAGCTGTAGAGTAACTGGAATAACACATTCACCACTGGCTTGGCTTTGCCCATTCTTTTAACAGATTTAAGGTTTCAATTGGGTGGGCTCTTTCAGTTGTATCATGCTGCTTAGATTAATGTGTTTGTTTTGAAATTTGCATTAAAATTTGGGCATTAAATTGTAGAGAATGTATCTCCATAATACACAAGTCAGCATACTCATTGCTGTTCATGATCTATGTGTAGTTATCTAGGGGCTGCCCCTGAATGTCTCTAGGTTTGAGTTTCTCTAGAGGCCCTCCCTTACTCAATTCTTTATGAACTGACTCACTTGTTCACCTCAGCCAATTTGTGAGAATTTGGCCAGATCTGATGTAAGTTTAATGTAAGATAATCAGAAAGTTTGAAAATTCCATTGTTACAGATGGTCACATTGGTGACTACTCTTCTGCTGTGTTTGCCTTGATTCTGTGGAATGCCTGCCTGATCATTTTTCAAGGAATACAATTTCCTTCCATTCTTTCCTCCAAAAGAGCCTAAGGAAATCTGTGCTTAAGGCCATAATCTAACAAATACAAGGACTCCTCCAAGTCTAATTGATCCCTTCCAGACTCCTTTGTTACTTACTTTACTCTTCCATTCTGCTTGTCCAGCTATTCTTCGMATTATTTTTCTTTCCTGAGAAGGATTTTCACTGTGTTGCTAAGGTTTGTCCCCAGCTGCAAGTGAGCCTCATGCCTTAGTCTTTCAAGTATCTGGGACAATAGGAGAGGACCATTTTGCCTGGTTTTCATTATTTTTCAAATGCTGAATTCCTGATTTTAAAAAAAATTGTTTTTGTAGTTGTAAATGGACATAAGGCCTTTATTTGTTTATTTTTATGCGGTTCTGAGAATGGAACCCAGTGCCTCACACATGCTAGCCAAGCACTCAGCCACTGAGCTACAGACCCAACCCTGAATTCCTGATTTTTAATCTTGTGATTCCTTCTTTCTTTGAGTATCCTCCTCCTTGGCACCACCTATTGGAATCTCCATTCTTCAAGACCCAGCTCACATTTCTTTTTTTCTATAAAACCTTTCTGACCATTCTGGCTCAAATGCCCATTTTTTTYTGAACTCCTAGCTAGTATTATCTTTTGACACCTGATTGTGTGTGGTGTTATTGATACTGATCTTGGGTACAGGTTCTTGTTCCCCAGTTTTAAAGAATAAACACCCCAGACCCAAGGCAAACATAGAGAGCAAGTTTTATTTGAGAAAGGGAGATAGAGACCATCGAGAGCAAGTTTTATTTGAGAAAAGGAGATAGAGACAGACTTCTCTGAAGAGAAGTGGGGCCTTCAAAACAAAAAGCCCATGGGACAGGATGAAACTTGCTTTCTAATAAATCACAGAACCCCCGCTTTAATTATTGTCTTTTTTTTTTCTCCTCCATGTCCTTGACCAAAGGCTGGAGCACTGAGGTTAACTGTTAGTAACCCATTGTTCTCTTTGAAAAAAGATGTCATCCTCTTTCAACCCCCATCCTTTTATCACCTATGCTGACTTTCTGACCTTTGTCCATGCCTCAGTTTACTGAGGAATATGACACATCCTGTCCACTTAGACTAAGTGGGGCTGTAGGCAAATTACTTTTGGGGTCAGAACAGTGGACCTATTTATTTATTTATTGGTGGTACCAGGAATTGAACTCAGGGGCACTCAACCACTGAGCCACATTCCCAGCCCTATTTTGTATTTTATTTAGAGACAGGGTCTCATTGAGTTGCTTAGAGCCTTGCTTTTGCTGATGCTGCCTTTGAACTTGTGATCCTCCTGTCTCAGCCTCCTGAGCCCCTGGGATTACAGGCATATGCCACAGTGACTGACTCAGTGGGCCCATTTTATAGAATTATTCTCTTATCCTTATGTTCCAGCCATTCTTGTCTAACTGTCCCTTAACATTGTGACCATCCTTACTTTGGGCTATCTTAAAGTATTAGTTCATCCTTTACATTTATGGAAAAATCTCATGAGATTCACATCTGACCTGGGTTCTATCTTTTGCTAACTATATGACCTTGGGCAGGTTATTTAACCTCTCTGTGCTTCAGTTTTCTATGAATTGCATATAGATAATGATACCTACCACATAGAATTGTTGTCAAAATTTTAGAGGATAAAGTTAGTAGGAGTAGGTACTTTGTAAGGTGTGAAGGATAATGTAAGCAAGAATATTGATATTCTGTAGTTAATAAACTGCTATCAATTGCATGATCTTATTTTGTCTTCACAATTTTATGAGATAATCCTGGCAGACACAAGAGATAAGGAAACTCAAATCAGTGTGATTATAAAACTTGTGTTCTTAACTGCCAGAAGGGTCTGTGCAGAGACAAGCTTTGATGAATCAAAGACCTAGGATTTAGAACAGAAACTGTGCAAATGCTAGAAAAAAACATAGGGTCAACACTTCAACATAATGACACAGGTATTGACTTCCTTAATAATATTCATAAAGCTCAAGAAATAAAACAAGAATCAATAAATGGGATGTCATAAAATTAAAAAGTTAATGGGTTAGTGGTAGAGTGCTTGCCTAGCATGTGTGAGCATTGGGTTTGATTCTCAGCACTGCATATAAATAAATAAAGTTCCATGTTTTGAAAGAAGAAATACAAATAGCTAACAAATATATGAAAAAAATGTTCAACATCCTTAGCAATCAGGGAAATGCAAATCAAAACTACACCCAAAGGAATACTCATCTCACGTCAGTTGGAATGGTGGTCATCAAGAATACAAATTATAATTGCTGGTGAGGATATGGGGGAAAGGCACATTTTTTTTTTTTTTTGGTGGGATTGCAAATTATTACAACCACTTTGGAAAGCAGTATGCAGATTCCTTTAAAGACTAAGTGTGAAACCATTATATGACCTAGCTATCCTTGTTTTATCCAAAAACACTAAATCAGCATATTATAGTGATACTTGTATAACAGTATTTATAGCAGTGCAGTTCATAGTAGTCAAATTATGGAATTAGTCTTGGTGCTCATCAGCAGATGAATGGATAAAGAAAATGTGATATATATATATATATATATAAATACATACATACATACATACATACATTGGACTTTTATTTAGCTATTAAGAAGAATGAAATGTCATTTAATGGTATATGGATGGAACTGAAGAACATCATAAGTGAGTAAGCCAGACCCAGGAATCCAAGAGTCAAATATTTTCTCTTATGCGGAAGAGGGGAGGGTGGGAAGGGAAAAGAATTTCTAAAAAAGRATCTCATAGGGTTGGGGTTGTAACTCAGTGGTTGAGCACTTGCCTCGAATGCTTGAGGCACTGAGTTCAATCCTCAGCACCACATAAAAAAATAAATAGCTAAAACAAAGGATCTCAGAAAAATAGAAGGAAGACCAATAGAGTAGTGGAAGGGGAATCAAGAGGGAGGGAGGAGGAAAGGACATGGGGAAGTATTGGAGTACGAAATCCACCAAATTATGTTATGCCCACGTATGAACATACTATAATGAGTTCCATATACACATACACACATATATACATACATATAACACAATWATATAATTATAACACACTAAAATAATGATAGGCGGGAGATCAGTAGAGTGGAGCAAACTGATGAGGGAGGGACAAGGAAAGGAAAACGGAAGGTGCTAGAGAATGAGACTGATCAAATTGTTATATGTATGTATGAATATTGCCTAATGAATCCTGCTACTATTTATAATTATTATGTAGCAATAAAATATATAAAACATCAGGCTTAGATCATTGACATAAACATGTTCAAGAAAAGTATAGCCAAAGGAAAAACAAGAAATAAAAGCCATTTTGAAAGAACTTAGGAAGAGAGAAGCTGGAAACAGTGATGATTGCCTCTAAATACTTGAGGTGCTCCTGTGAAAAATAAGCTTTGAACTTATTCTGTGTCATACCAGAGTGGGGAAGTAGGTTCAAACTATGGAAGTTATTGGGGAAGTTGGTTTGGGTTTTCTACATGTGACATCTGCAGATGTTTCAGTTCTGGTCCAGATAGGTTTCAGTAGCAGATGGATCATTATGGACAGAGGGGCTAGCCTTGTTCCTCTGTGTAAGACAGGTAGTGGTGGAAACTCATGATTATGAAAAGAACCTAAAGCTTCTGGATTTCTTTCTCTCTSTGTGTGTGATTGGGTTGTTTTGGTACTA